CCCAGGGGGGATATCTAACCTGTGGCCGTTTGGGCCTCTCCAAATGGAGGGGGGGGCACAAGAGCAGGAAAAATCAACGAATCGACACCGGATGTGTATTAACTTGACACGTTCTGATAGGCGGCCTCCTGGGGCCTCCTGGGAGCCTCCTGGGAATCTCCTGGAGACCCCTGGGGCCTGTCCTGGGCGTCCTGCGGCCTCCTGGTGCCTCCTGGGGCCTCCTGGGGACCTCCTGGAGCTTCCTCCTGGGCCTCCTGTGGCCTCCTGAACTCCACCTGAGGTTTCCTGAAGCCTCTTGGGGCTCCCAGGGGGGATATCTAACCTGTGGCCGCTTGGGCCCCTCAAAATGGAGGGGGGGGCACAAGAGCAGGAAAAATCAACGAATCGACACCGGATGTGTATTAACTTGACACGTTCTGATAGAGGGCCTCCTGGGGCCTCCTGGGAGCCTCCTGGGAATCTCCTGGGGGCCCCTGGGGCCTGTCCTGGGCGTCCTGCGGCCTCCTGGACCTCTCTGGGGCCTCCTGAGGCTCGCAGGGTCCCATGGAGGATATGTAACATGTGGTCTTCTGGGCGCCCAGGCTGGACCACCTCTCGCGCAGCATCTGAGAGCTCAGAGTTGCGAGAATGTCTTGTGCGAAACAGGCCGGACCACCTTGCGCACGGCATCTCAGAGCTCAGAGTTGCAAGGATGTCTCAGGCGAGACGGGCCGGACCACCTCGCGCAGGGCATCTCAGAGCTCAGAAGTTCGAGGATGTCTCAGGCGAAACGGGCCGGACCACCTCTCGCGGTGCATCTCCGAAGTCAGAGTTTCGAGGACGTCTCAGGCGAAACGGCCCGGACAACCTCGCGCAAGGCATCGCAGAGCTCAGAATTTCGAGGATGTCTCAGGCGAAACGGCCCGGACCACCTCTCGCACGGCACCTCGGGGCTCAGAGTTTCGAGGATGTCTCAAGCGAAACGGCCCGGACCACCTCTCGCGCGGCGTCCTGGAGCGCAACTTTTCGAGGATGTCTCAGACGAAACGACCAATCCCGGCCAACTCAGAAACGAGATTTGTGAAGATGTCTCAAGCGAAACGGCCAAAACCATAAAATTTGTGTGAGGATGTCTCTGCTCCGACTTCCCTCGGCCGGAGTTAGTTTCTACCACAACAGCACCCCGTTCAGCAAGCTGTTTTGGGAAAAATCTTCGGACCGGGGTCCGAAATGCGACGTTCGCAGAACGGGTTCAAAATCCGAAGTCTGGTGTCGGGATCCGGAATCCAATGCATGTTCCAGGATCGCGGATCCTGGAGCCGGGGTTCGGGGTCTGGAGTTTGGGGTCCGAGATGCAAGCAGTTGGGATGCTGAGTGAAGGGGATATTCCTGTGCTCTGCCCGCTCCGTGGGGGAAGGTCTGGTCCTGGGCCCGGTGTCCGCGGTCTGGAGCACGGAGCCTCGGGGACCCAGGTCGGGGCTCGGGCTCCGCGGAGTCTGTGATCTTGGCTCTGGGCTCCGCGGAAGCCGGGCTCCGGGATCTGGAGTCCAGGGTTCGGGAGCCGAGCTCCGAGCTCCAGAGTCGTCCGGGGACCCATGAGTCCAGAGTCCGAGGTCCAGGGTCCGGGGTGAAGGTGGTCCCCGCTTCCAGGAGTCCGGGTCCCAGGTGCGGAGTCCGCCACGTGATCGCCGTCGTCGAAAGTAGATCGCCATGGTCGGTCGTTGTCACTCGTCGTCGCCATCGGTCGTCGGTCGTCTGTCCAACGACGGGGGGGCCGTCTCTCGTCGTCGTCGCCGAAATGCTCCCGCCGTCGTCGTATGTCGTCGGTCGTCAGTCGCCGCTCCTCGGTCTTCGACATCGTACAGGCGTCGTCGTCGTCAAGCGTCGATCGGTCGCGGGTCGCCATTCGTCCGTCATTCTCGTCGCCTCGCCATCTTCACAACAACTCGTGCGTCATCCATCGTTCGGAATCGTCGTCGTCGGCGACGTCGTCGTCGGTCGTCGCCATCGGTCGTCAGTCGACGTTCGGCATTCATCGTCGTCGTCGTCGTCGTCGACGCCTTCGACATGGCCCTCAGCATCGTCGTCCAGGGTCCATCATCTTCGACGACCTGGTCGTCATCGCCTTTTCCCGACCACTTTTCCCCCGTCCTACCTATGGTAGTAGTGGTGAAGATGGGCCCACCACCATCCCTCAAGTCCCCCGCTTCGAACCTCCGACGCCGCGCGGGCTGGCCGGTGAGTACCGAGGTGCTGGCAGCGCCCAGCCTTCACCAGAGGGCAGGCTCTCGCACCACGCCTGGGCGAAGGGGGGCCGCCGCCGTCGGCGTCGTCGCGCGCGTCGGGTCGGCGTCGTCGTCGCCAGTGACGTCAGCATTGTCACCGTCCTCGTCGTCGCGACGACGGAAGCGTCGGCGCGACGTCATCTCTGGCGTCGTAGGCGTCGTCGTCGCCGTCGTCGTCGCGTGCGCGGTCGCCGTCGCCGTCGTCTCGTCGTCAGCGCCGTCGGCGACGGCGCAGCCAGTATCAACGCCGTCATTGGCAGAAGCGTCGTCGGAAATGATGAAAGAAAAAGAGGATGGAGGGAGGAAGACAGGATAATCTGAAAAGGAGGAGGGAAGAGAGAACGGGGAGAAGAGGGGAGGAGACGAGAGGAAGGATGAGCAAGGTTCGACCTCCCCTCTTCCGCCTCACTCACTCCATCCTCGCTCGGCCTCCCCTCCTCATCCACCCCACTGATAGCAACATACTTCCTCATATCTTAACCATCACCATACTTCAACCGCTGATGCACCAACGATCTTACAGCGTCAAACAAGACTCGAACATACCAAATACCGTGCCACAACCAACATGCTACACGGCTTCAAGACCATTCTCCTGGCCAAGATATTCCCGCCAGGTTGCCATCATTGCATACCGTCACACAGAAAATTACACTAGCACAGCCACCGCCGCAACATGTTCAAGGATCGCACGGACTACCAGGACACCCTTTACACACATACATACATACCTATTCCTCTTCCTATATTCTTACAAGGCCGCGCGGGGGAAAACCCGCCCCCCCCCCCAAAAAAAAAAAACGGACTCCCGGGATCTGGGGCTTTGGGACCCTCCGGACGGGCCTCGAAGCAGCCCTCCGGGCCTTGCAGGGCGTTTTGCCAAGCCTTCCCAGCACACCTAGGGCGAAAAGGGGGGTCATCGGAGACGTCCCAGAGACCCCCAAGACAGCACAAGAGCGCTCCAAGAGTGACCGACGTGACCTCAAGATGGCCCAAAAGGCCTCCAGGACAGCCCCAAAGAGGCCTCCAAGAGCACTCCCAAGAAGGCCCCAAGAGGCACAAATCTTTTATTTGTTTGGTGTTTGCTGAATTTGGGGGTTCTCCTCTTTTCGGCTTCACGACGCTCCAAGACGGCGGTCTTCTGGGCGTCCGAAGCCGCCTGGGAGGCTCCAACCTCGCCCCACAACCATCCGAAAGGGCTTCCAGGCAGTCCAAGAGAGCCCCAAAACGGCACAACACGGGTCCAAGATGGCCCTCAGAGAGCCCCATGGCGGCCCAAGATGGCCCCAAGACACCCTCCGAAGCATTCCAAATCGTGACCCTGTCGTTTAGGGAGACCGCGGTTGGAGGCAGGGTGGCCCGAGGAAGTCCCCAGAGGTCCCCAGAATACGCCCAGGAGGCCTCCAGAAGGCCTTAAGAAAGCCTGAAACAACTTTTGCGAGGCCCCCAGAGGCTCTCCAAGGAGGAGCCTCCGCAAGAAAGAGCTGAGGAGGATGGGGAGAATGCGCAGGCTACGGCGAAAATAAAGGAAAAAAACATGGAGGAAAGATAACGAATAACAGTATTATAGCGGCGATGCCGGAAAAGGCAACAAGGAGTTATCTCTAAATTGTCGGCTTGACCTTCCTGCTATTCCGCCTGCGTACCGAACTTCAAGGACCAAGTTGCAGTGGCGCGAAGCGCCACTGCAGTCATATACATACATATGTATATATATATATATATATATATATATATATATATATATACGTATGTATATATGCCAACGACGCAACCACATGCCACCGCACGCTCCCCATCGAAAATAACCACCCACCCCACTGCGGCTTTCTCAATTTACCGGTGCAACCTTGCACTGCGCTGCACACTCACGATCCCCAAACCAATGATTTTATACGTACTGTTTCCGTGCCCACCCATCTTTCCATCTCGAGGCTTCCGTAGTAGTGTTTTTTGTCAAGTCGAGCCTTTTCAGATGTAATTGCACATCGCTGTGCAAACTGCAACGATGCGCAACACCACCACCACCACCACCACCATCTGGAACATTGAGATAATCCTTGCCACGTTGGCATAGAAATCGGGGGCAATACCCCGCTGTGGACCGGAGTCCGCTGCAGCCCACAGCATTGCACCTCTACCACGTACCACTGCGCACTCCACAGCTCCCCGTGTCTTTAGTCACCATCTGCCGTTCTCCTGCGTGGTCTGCATGCTTTTACCCCCCGCAGTCTCACCTCAGCACTGCCAACCGAATCCGCCTGCAGATCCAACATGCACTTCGCGCGCTCTCTTGCACGGCCCACCTCATACACCGATCCTGGACTAGTTCCGTCGTTTACGGATTCGTAGACTGTCGCGGCGGCGCCCCCGGCGCCACGGTATGCCCTGCGAGCGGATAGCCGGTCGTTCCGCTCCGCGGGGCGGGCGCCTCCGAGAATTTCGAGACGCTGGTGCTCGGGGACTGGGAAGTGGTTACCGCGCCGCGCAGCACCGTGGCGGGCCAGAGCTTTCGGCGCGACGCGCCAAGCCAACATTCCTGGCCGTACTCCTCCCATGAGCTGGCCGCGCCCGCTACCTCTGCGTCCCCATCATGATGAACACTCTGCTGTACGCCACCCAGCGCCGCCAGCCCCGCCCCCCGTCCGATTTTACCATTACCTTCATTCATCATGCGCTGTTGCTCCTCTCCCTGGACGGTGTTCTACCTGTTTTCTGCTCGCGCCCAGACGCGACGGGCTGGCGTGCAATGCTAGTCATACGGGGCATGAGAGGGTAGACCGACGAGAAGGAAAAGGAGGATCTTCGTGCTCCTCCTATTTCTCATCCCCCAGAGTTCTCCCTTACCAAAGTAAGAGCAGCGGGAGGATGGAGAGGACGACTTGCTTTTGCACCTGAGGTTCCAGCTAGTGTGCCGTAAGCGAGCCTGGGAGAGAGCACATGCCTCCAAGCAGCGGGGTCACCGACCCCCCAGCGAAAACTACACGGCGGAACGGGGGGAAAATCCCCAACGTTCCCGCCAAGAGAAAAATGGCGTGGAGGAGCCACCCGTCCGCGCAGCACACAAAGACAGGACAAATACGCTGTCAACTGCGAAGCTTCCGTTTGGTTCTGACTGGCGACCATTCCAGCCCGAGCTTGTCCTAGACCTGCTGGTGCAGGAGGCTCCTCGTGCTCGCGCTTGAGTCGCAGCGGGCTCCGGTTGGCCGCAAGCGAGTTGCCCGAAACCAGAATCGGAGTCGGGGTCGATTCGAAAGGGACCAAGACATCTCTGGAGGTCTACAGAAGCCCGAAGCCTGAAACTCTGAGCCTCCTAGGGGCTCCAAAGACAGCATTTGTGGAGGCCTACGGAGGCTTGAAGGCCTGAGATCTGCGGCTCCGACCATTTTCGAGCTGTATCAACCTGTAGCATTGTTGCCGTTCATCCCAGCGATCGGGCCTGGCCGCGGGCACGCGCTGACCGGGAACTCCCGCTTCGGCAGTGGCCTCGGGCTCAGCTGCCTGGGCTGGCGAGCCGGAAACACTTTGGTGCCTTTAGCGTTTGCTGCCCGCATCGCCGCCAGTCTCTCGTACTCTGGGGCCCGAACCACCTTGGGGCCCGCTGCCACCGCTGCCTGCATCGCCGCCAAGCCCCTGTATTTTTGCGGGCCTCGGAATGCCGTGGTCTGCACCGGTACGACCTCGAGCGAGTCCTCCAGCTTGAGTGTGATCTTGGCGAGGTGGCTCTCATGCCTCCATGGTGATGCCAGCTTGTCGCTCCTGCATTTCTTGACATCGTCCACGAAGGTGCTCATCGATTCCACACTGTCCAACGTGGCACCTCAACTCTTCAACTTCTTGCGCTGGCTGTGGACCCCAAACCTGTGGCGATGGGCGGCATGTGAGCACATTGTCACCATGCTTTCGGCGCCGTCCATCAAAGACTACAGCGCGCTCTGCTGCAATGTGGGCCCTGTGGAGCCTGCGGTTCGTTTGCGAATTCAACACGTCGACCTCCTCCTGCGGCAACTGGACTGATGTCTGCTGAACCTGCAAGACTGCTGGCTGGTGGAGTGGCTGCTGGACTGCGGGCCTAATTGGATGCTGAACTGGAACATCTGGCTGCAGGTCTGTTGGCTGCTGCTGCTGCTGAAATGGATGCGGAACTGCTGGCCCAACTGAATGCTGGACTGCTGGCTGCTAGACTCCAGCTGGACTGCCAGGCACGAACCGTCAAGCCGCAACTTGTGCCTCCGACCTCTTCTTTTGCCTATGTCGGATGATTCCCTTTGATGGGGTGATGTCCATACGCTGGCATCTATGGTTTTTGGTTTGAAGCAACATGTGATACGGATGCGTGACACTTTAGAACGGCTTCGTACTGTAAGGAGCCCACACGCTGGCACGATTCAATGTATATGTGCTAGGCAAGCCAGCGGTAATGCTGAGCAGTACTGTCAGGGCTGTCGTACATGTCATTCGCCAATTCTTATGATTCGTGCTGCTCCGCTTGGCTTCCCCAAGCCTCGTTTGCCTTGCTTTGCCTCGTGCTGCTTTGTTTGGCTCCGCATCGGCCCCCGTTTGCCACTGTTGAACTTACTGCTGCTTGTTTTCGTCCACATCCACCACCATATGCTCCTGCGTTCATTCGTGCTGTTCTATTTTGCTTCCCGCAACGATATATTGCTCATGGTGTGCTTCCTGCTGCTCTGTTGTGATCCCCTCAGCCGTTGTTCTGTTTCGCGCTGCATTGTTCTGCTACTTTCAACCCTCGTATGACCTTGTGCGACTTCGTGCTGTTCTATGTTGCTCCCCTCAATCCTCGTTTGCAACTGTTTGGCTCTGTACTGTTCTATTTGCTCCCCATCAGCCGTGTTTTGATTATGGTTTGCTTCGTGCTGCTTTGATTGGCTCCCCTCAGCCATCGTGTTGCTTTATGCTGCTCTGTTTTGCTCCCCTCTCCCGTTCGCCATCGTGCTGGTTTGTGCTGCTCTTCTTTGCTAACCTCAGCCACTGTTTGCCCTTGACTTGCTTCGTGCTGCTCTGTCTTGCTCCCTCAAACCACGATTGTGCTCAATGTTGCTCCGTTTTGCCTCGTGCTGCTCTACTATGCTGGGCTTGCTCTGGTCGTTTTCAAATCTAGGCTGTGCCGCAGCTCAGTGCCCTGCGTGGTTTCTCCAGGCAGGCCCCTGATGGGCCGGCTTTCCACCACCACCACCACCACCACCGTAAGTTGAAGGGGGGAAGGCGGAGGACGTCGAGGAGGAGGAGGACGAGGAGGAGGAGGAGGAGGAGGAGGAGGAGGAGGACCCCCTCCCCCTCCACCTTCTGGTGGTGGTGGAAGGCAGACGGGCCCAGCGGGCCCCCCCCCCACCCCACCCCACCACGGCCTGTGCGTCGGCGATGATCACCTCGTCCAGCCTCGCGGCGCCGACGCCGCGAAAGGGGGGGGGGGTGGGGGGCGCACGCCTCGGGCGGCCGCGAGGCGGGGAGGCGAGACCGGGGCAGGGACGACATCGGACAGGGACGGAATATGCGGGATGACGATGAATAAAACAAAGGGGAGAGAACGACGAAAGAAATGGTTTTCTGCCATTTCTGCATCATATTCTGACTGGAGGAGAACGATCAAAAAAAATAGTTTTCCAGCCCGCGGCCGGTTTTTTCTAATCGTCACCCCGGGCGCCGCCGCGTGAACATGACCCCGGTCATTTATCAATCGTCATCCTCCATCACGGTAGAGGGAAACAATTACTGGACACTCGCCCTCCCCCCCAAACTCAATGTTGGCAAGCGCGGGGGAGACTGCGGTCGAAGTGCATCTCATCATACCCACCGCCAACTTCGAACATTGGGGGGAGGGGGAGTGGGGGGAGGGGGAGGCGTCGACGGACGAATGTGGCATGAGTGTTCGCTAATTTGTTCCGAAGCCTGTATCTCACTGCGCTGGCCTTGCAGACGTGCCGCAGCGGATTCTCGCGTGGATTCGCGTCAGTGCAAAACCCCGAAAGGGCGTGCGAACAACGGAGTGCCTTTCGCGTGGAGGTTTTGTAGCCTTCGTTCCTGGCCGAGAAAGAGCCGCACGAAGTTCGCATCGACATCCGGAACGAAATTCTCCAGGGCAGTCCGTGTCCGTCTCATAGCTTCCCGAGCGAAATCCGCTCCGCGAAGTTGGCGCCACGATGCACCGGGGAACTCCGAGATCTCGCGGCCCTGGAGCACGCACCGGGCGCCGCGGCATTCTCGGAGACTGCCGGAACGCTGCGGGGGCGCTCCGAACACTCGGGAGAAACGCATCCCGATCCTGAAACCGATCACTTCTCTTCGACGGATTGGAGCTTGAACGACTCGAGCTCGTCGTCGTCGTCGACGTCGCTGTTGTCGTTGTCGTTGTCGTGTTCCGTCGTCGTCGTTGTTATCACTGTCGTCGCCAGTGTCGTTGTCAGTCGTCGTCGTTGTCGTCGTCCGTCGTCCGTCGTCGTCGCTGTCCAATCGTCGTCGTCGTCGCTGTCAATCACCGCCGTCGTCGTCGTCGTCGTTGTCGTCGTGATCGTCGTGATCGTCGTCGTGATCGTCGTGATCGTCGTCGTGATCGTCGTGATTGTCGTCGTCGTCGTCGTCGTCGTCGTCGTCGTCGTCCTCGTCCCACCTCCGCCCGCGGCGGGCGTCGACCGCCCGCCGGGGCGCCGACCCGCCGCCCTCGGACGCCGACCAGCCGCTCGGCCCCCGGCCCTCGCCCGAGCGCAGGGCTCCGAGCGCGGGTCTGCGGCGAACGGCCCCCCCAGGGCTCCTCCCGCTCCAGGCTCTCTCTCGCTCCTCCTCCTCGTCGTCCTCCTCCTCCTCCTCCTCCTCCTCCTCCTCCTCCTCCTCCTCCTCCTCCTCCTCTCCTCCTCCTCCTCCCCCTCCCCCTCCCCTCCTCCTCCTCCTCCTCCTCCTCCTCCTCCTCCTCCTCTCCTCCTCCTCCTCCTCCTCCTCCTCCTCCTCCTCCTCCTCCTCCTCCTCCTCCTCCTCCTCCTCCTCCTCCTCCTCCTCCTCCTCCTCCTCCTCCTCCTCCTCCTCCTCCTCCTCTCCGTAGCCATTTTGGCTCAAGTCCGAAGCGGTGGCTCAGGACGAGAGTGCTTTTTGGCGTGGGGAGTTTGCGGCCCCGAGAGCGAACTGCAGGTGCTTTTCCGCATACTGCATTGGGGTTTCATCTCCCACCTCTTTGCCATCACGTTTACAGAGTACCCGTGGTTCCTTGGTCTCGTGCCGAGAACGCTCAGCCGTGGAGGCGCAAGACCTGCCAGCGCAAGGACGGCACCCCATGGCGGAACTGGGCCACGTCGAAGGCCTGCGGGAAGTGCGGCATCCACAAGGGCGCTTGTTTCAAGGACACGGTCCCGCCCAACGGCCTTCCATCTAAGCGCCGCTCTGGTGCTTCTGGTGGGGGTGGAGGCGGCGGAGCTGTGGCTCCGACGCCCATTTGCGGCAGCGCATCGCTGACCTGGAGGCGAAGTTGGCCAGTCGTAGCGTGGGGGCCGACCTCGAACCCATGGCCATGGACTTGGACCCTGGCGACACGGTCGGCCCGCCTCTTGCGCGTTCCGCAGAGGCCCGCCGCGACCGCCTCCAGGTGCTTGAGCGGCAGATCGCGCACTGCGATGCACCAGGCCAGAGGTCGAGGCTGTCTACCAAGAGCTGCGGGGCAAGCTCGTCAAGGAGCGCGACGAGCTTCGCCGCACACTCGCCGAGTCCAAGCCCATCGATGTGCGGCAGAAGGACCTGGCCACCAAGATGTCCAAGCAGCGTCTGCGGATCGCGGCCTGCGATCAGGAGGTGGGGAGCCTCCAGGCCAAGCTCGCCGCCATCACCGCCGACCTCAACGCGGCGAAGCGCGGGGCGGCCGAGGCGCGGAAGACCATGCAGCGGCTGGAGGTCGAGAACATGGCCTTGGCAGCCCATATCCCATTGGCGCCCGACTCGGTTACCCTGGACGCTGTCATCCCCAGGCCCGAGGTCACGACGCAGCAGTTCGGCATGCTGCTGCGCGGGCTGGGCGGCGACAGCGCAGCGGTCGAGTCCACCTTCAAGGACGCCTTGTCCAGGCACGTCGCCTCGCTGCGGGAGGCCCAGGCGGCACCCGCGCATGTGGCGGTGCCTGGCACGCCTGTGGGCCCTGCTGGCGCCCTTGTGGCCCCTGGCCATCACGCCCCTGGAGATGAGGCGGCGCCGGCTGCGGAACCCGGGGCCGAGGGTGGCGCTGGCAGCGGGGGCGCGGCCCCTGGCACCCCGAGCATCTTCTGCTTCCTGGGCGCTGCTCCCAACGCTGCTGACGTTCGGGCGTTTGTGGAGTCGATGGGGTTCGCAGTGCCTGAGGAGGAGTCCGAGGCCGCCACCATCGAGCGGGCCCGCGTCATCAACGATGCCATACAGAGCCAGGCGAAGCGGCTCAAGACGCAGGCGTCCACCGCTGCAGCGTCGGCGGCGGACATGTGAGCTCTTCCTGTCCTTGGCTTACCTTGTCGTCATGATGGCGTGCACTACTTTGGACATCGAGGTCGACCAATTCGACGAGGTCGACAACGCTGCCGGCTTTCTTGCGCAGCAACCGTTTTCTGCAGAGGTACATTCTGCTCCTGAGGTGCACGGTCGCGCAGATCAGCTCGCACCGCTCAGTTGGGTGCCTACTTTCTTGGTGGAGGCCGAGGGCCTCGCCGCTGTGGTTTCTTCAACGTCTCCTTCGGTGGCTTTGTCGTTGAGGACCGCCGCCGGGGCCGCCGGGGCCGCCGCCGGAGCCCCCGGGACCACCTCCTGGGCCGCCGCGCGTGACCCCGGGACAGCCGCCAGGGCCGCCTCTCAGAGCAGCCGAGCTGTCGCGGGGGCCGCCGCCGGGGCCTCCAGGGCCTCCGAGGCCGCCGCTGGAGCCACAGGGGCCGCCTCCAGGGCCGCCGGCAGGGCGTTTGTCGGCTCGCTGGTCTCGGCCAACACCTCCTCGTTCGGCCCGATGTTTGACTTCGTGGCGGAGGTGCCTCATGAGGTTCGGGTGCTGGCCGTGCAGGAGCACCGCATTCCTCAGGCCAGGCTGGGCGAGATGCAGAATCGCCTGGCTTAGACACGGACGCGCAAAGCACAAGCAGTGGCGCCGCGGTGCTGGTCCCGTCGTCGGTGTGCCTCACCACGGCCCCTGGCCTAGCCGACGGGACCTTGCTTCCTGGCCGTGCAGCCGCTGCTCGGGTCCACTGGGGCATCCCGCAGGGAATAGTCTGCATCAGCCTTTATTGTGTCGACTCTGTGGGCTTTGCGGGGCCCAACTTGGAGGTGCTGTGGAAGGTTTTTAAGCA